CAAATGGAATTTTGTCCTTCATTGCTAAAGGGAAGGAGATTAAAAGCAGAGAGGTTATGTTGCAGCTGTACAAGGTGCTGGTGAGGCCACACCTGGAATACTGTGTGCAGTTTTGGTCTCCTTACTTGAGAAAGGATGCACTGGCACTGGAGGGGGTGCAAAGGAGGTTCACTAGGTTGATTCCGGAGTTGAGGGGGTTGGCTTATGAGGAGAGATTGAATAGATTGGGATTATATTCATTGGAATTCAGAAGATTGAGGGGGCATCTTATAGAAACATGTAAAATTATGAAGGGAATAGATAAGATAGAAGTAGAGAGGATGTTTCCACTGGCAGGTGAAGCTAGGACAAGAGGGTATAGCCTCAAGATTAGAGGGAGCAGATTTAGGACTGAATTGAGAAGGAACTTCTTCACCCAGAGGGTTGTTAATCTATGGAATTCCTTGCCCAGTGGAGTAGTTAATGCTACTTCAGTAAACATTTTTAAAGATAAGGTAGATTTTTTTTGAACAATAAAGGAATTAAGGGATACGGTGAGAACGCGGGTAAGTGGATCTGAGTCCCCGAAAAAATCAGCCATGATCTTATTGAATGGCGGAGCAGGCTCGAAGGGCCGGACGGCCTACTCCTGCTCCTAGTTCTTATGTTCTTATGTTGTGTTCCTGTCACTCCCAGACTTTTTGGTTCTTTGCATCTCCCTCCAAGATTCTCAACAATCAAAATGCTGGGGGAAGTTTGAGGGAGGTCCAAGGAAGCCTGCCGCTGTGATCTCTGGCCTCGACTTGGGACTCCTGTGCCGAGGTGATGAAAGGTGAGATCAAGGGCTATTCACACATTTTTCATGCTGAAGTGTTGAAGGCTGGGGTCAGATTTGGGATCACTGCGCTGGTTTGTCACAGGTGGGGCAAGACGGATTGGAACTCAGACTCTAGGGGAGTGTAACAAACTCCAGGTGCAAGAGGACACATCCTGGTGGGGACACCTCCAGAGGTTTCATTTTGCATCATGCCTTTCTTCCGAGCAGATGCTCACCCCACTCCCCAACAGAAGCCATGACGATAGTAACCTCTGCCTTAGGCCCTACTTACAAGGCTCTGGGTGCTGCTTTTGGAGACAGAATGGGCGCGGTAGTGCCACCAGCAGTCACTGGTGGGCTTAGGCAGCCTTAGAGTGGAGCAATTTATTTTTAATTTATTTATTGTTCCTTGCACAAGTTGCACCATCCACCGTCCACCGTCCACCGTCCAGGTGATGCGATAGACAACCCCATCATGGAACATAGAGAAAGCTCCTCAGTAACCTCCTCGCAGGTCAGGCTGACAAAGACATGCCGGAGGCTGCTGTCCTTCAACACAAGTGAGACAGGTGCTATTTCCCTGACTTCACCTCCCCCAGGTGCCACTGCAAGTGGAAGAGAAGGAGCTCACTGACAATGAAGGGATTGGGCACAAGAGATCACCAAACAGTGCCATGATCTAAGAGATCCACCAGCAGGTAGGCCCCACATACAGAGAGTCCCTTCTCCAAGGCCAGGTTTACTACCTGCTTGGACTGAAGGGAAAAGACAACTTTGCAACATATTTTAGATGCTGTAACAATGGTTGATGGGCCAACAGTACTAACCATCACCCTCATACAGGATTCTATTGACATGTCCAGGTGGGTTTTTTTAACCAACAGATTCTTTATGAAAGGTGATAGGGCTATAACTGCCGGAGGAACTGCAGCAGTAGTGGCTACCTCAACATAGGACTGAACCTTGCCATTGGCAATGTTGGTGTTGAAGTTACCATAGTACTTCAAGCCATGCCAACCTCTCAATAATTGAGAAAACACAAAAAAAAAAAGCCCCAACTGTTCCAAGGCAGCTGTACAGGCCCATGGAAGTAATTACTGGACCACAGGTAGCAGCAGAGTTTGCAGCAACAGTCCACAGGGCCTCCAGGCCGGAAATGCAACTGTTCAAAGCGGCCCCAGGCTACACCAGCAACAATCCAAGGGGCCTCCGATAGCAACCAAAGCAGTAACAGTTTAAAGGGGACTCAGGCAGCATACAGCAATTCCCACTCAGACCCAGGCAACAGCACCAACTTTAACTCCAGGTTGCAGCACAGGTCCCCGTTTTCAAATTTCAGCCTTCGGACTCCTCTCTATCTTTAGTCTCCACTCTGTGCCCTAGCCTCAGGCTTCATTACAGGCAATAGGCCCCACTTTCTAATCTCCAAGCAGTAGCAGCCAGCTCCTCTTCCTCCACAGCACTCTACGGTCCAAACATGGGACACTATCACAGTGCCACAAGAAGCCTTTATTTACACAAAATATTTTCCTGTTCAGAGATGTTATTACACACCTCTGGAGCAGATGGGACTTGAACCTGTCTGTTGGTTCAGAGGTAAGGACACTATCAGTGTGCCACAAGAACATTTATTTGCTCGCAACAAAACCTTTCAATATTTTGAAAGCCTGCATCAAATCTCTCCTTAACTTCATCAGACTCACAGTTTAAATCTTGCATATGAAATCATTTTGGGAATCTCGTTTACACCGCATCTACAGCCTTGACATCTTCTGTACCATGGTGTCCAGAATTGTCCACAATCTTCCAACTGGGGCATAGCCGCTGATTTATAAATGATATGGCAAGTCTCTATAAAGCCAAACAGTCCTTGTGTACTTGCATTTACAAATTCTCCAGATCTTTTTTCTCCCCTATCATACTACACCATTGACTTGATACTGCCTTTGTTCATGCTTCCTACAGAAATTAATCATTTCAGTGCCTCCAATTTAATATGCCTGTTTCAGCAATGTCTTAATTTCCTGACGCATCAAGAATTCCATTTTCTATATTATCTTTAAACTTTGGAATTATGACCAGGTTGCTAATATAGTTTAAAAATTATACAGGTTCCAACACCAACCCCTGAGGAATTGAAACACTACAAGTGATATTTATATAGCACTATTAATGATTAAACTAAAGAACTGATCATGAACTTCAGAAAGAAAAGAGGAGAACATGCCCCCATCTTCATCAATGGAACTGAGGTTCAGAGGGTGGACAGCATCAAGTTGCTCAGACTGACGATAACCGACAACCTGTCCTGGACTTCCCAGGTAGATGCAACAGTCAAGAAGGCACAACACCACCTCTTCTTCCTCAGGCAGCTCAAGAAATTTGGCATGTCCGTAAGGACTCTCACCAACTACTACAGATGCACTATTGAAAGCATACTGTCCAAGTGCATAACTGCCTTGTATGACAATTGCTCTGCCCCTGACTAAGAAACTACAGAAGGTGGTGTGCACAGCCCAGACCATCACAGAAGCCAAATTTCCATCCATGGATTCCATTTACATGGCTCGCTGCTACAGAAAGGCTGCTAACAAAGACCCATCGCACCCTGGTAATGATCTCCTACGACCTCTTCTGTCAGGCAAAAGGTACAGAAGCCTGAACACACACGAGCAGGTTCAGGAACAGCTTCTTCCTTCAGACTGATGAACGAACTCTAGCCTCAAATAACACTGATCTTGCTAACGTGGACCTCACCTAGCGCACGGTCTGTGCGACGTAACCTGTATACCCCAAGTCTTTTTGATCTGTACATCCTTGGTTACTATGATCGACCTGTACTGCTCATAAGCAAAGCTTTTCACTGAACTTCGGTACAAGCGACAATAAATTAATCAAAATACCCCAAGTTGCTTCACAGGAGCATTACTAGACCCCTGTGGAAGATATCATTAAACATTTCCCTCCAAGGTTAAAAATCATTACTCTCCACCCTCATTTTGATTCTTAGACAATTTGGAGTACAGGAAAAAAGAGAAAGTTAGCAGCCAAGATTACTATTTCATCTGGGATATTTAAAAATGTAACCGTTCAGCGCCAATCAAATGGAACTGGGCAGGACACAAGTTTTCCAGCACAATGAGTTAAGTGCCCTCTCACCCAAGTAAAAAGGCACCATTCAAAAGGTTTCTACGCAGTAAAGGATCTATGCAATCAAATTCGATCAAAATGCTTTAGGCATGGTTAAGATACCAGCAGTTCAAATCAGTTTTTTTAAAAATGTACTGACACCTGGTTACTGTGTATTCAAACCATGTTCACTTCTCAGATAGCCAAGCATCTAGGGTATACACTGTGCTCAAGATAACAAAACTATTCCCAGTAAAACATGGATTCTGACAAAGAAGAGGTTCCATTAATATTATTCACAGCTTGCATTTATAGACCTCTATAGTGACTTTAAAAAAGTAAAACAACTCACTGGGTTTACAGAAGAATTATGAAACTAAAATTTGCCACCGAGCCACAAACAAAAACAGCAAGACTGATGACCAAAAGCTTGGTCCAAGTGAGCATGTTTTTTTTTTGGGGGGGGTGTGGTGGTGGCGGCGCTCAGACAGAACATTCATGGCACAGAAATGATGCAGCTTACATTATCACTGCCTAAGACGAAACAATTAAAACTGGCACAAGAGGCAAAAAAATTGGAAGAATACAGACATCTTGGAGGGTCATAGGGCTGGAACTGTTTACAGAGAAATGAGTTGAGGGATTGAAAATCAATGATTAAAATTTGTAGGATTTTGTGACAATTGGGTACAACATTTATTACACCATTTATGAAGAACCACATCTATTGTTTCTATGTCAAATCTGCTATCCAACAACTGCTGTTCAAAATGCGTAGCCAAACAGACTGATAAAATTCTCAGAAAATGACGACTATTTGGGCATTGCATAAAACCCATGAACATTGTGATGCCGAACTTAATGCAGAAGACTGCATGTGATATTTTAATATCTGAAAATAAAGCCACATGCAATAATTTCCATCTCATACAGACTTGCTAAGTAGTACAATTGCTATCAAAATGACTATGAATGGCTGCAGCCAGACAGCTAATCAACTAAATAGCATTCATATTTCATGGTGATAATATCCAAAAGTAATACTGTGAAAATGGAAGTTAACCAGAATCTATACCTTTTGCAGTTCGAAGTAGGGACTGTCTGCCTGCACCAAGTAGGGACTGTACACCAGACACACTTGAAGGAAGCTCTTTATCCAGCAGTGTGCCAATTCGCTGGCATATCCGCAAGAGATAATCAGGGGGCACATGTTGATTTGACAAAACCTGGCACAAAAAATAAACATCCACAACCAAGTTAAACCAGAAAGAGGATGTAACACATTGGTGCAGTCAAGTGAAATTGTACATTCTAGCCTCAGCCATCCTTCAGAATCTAACTTCCTACTAAAATGGAATTACATCCAGTGTACTCAGCCCAAAATGAGATAAATGACAAAGAAGAGGCCGCAAAATATAAACAAACATAGTGAGTCCAATTTTAGTGTCTTGATGTGCACAATATTTGAAAAAGAATAGCTAGTAGCGATACAAGAAAGAATGCAGGTGGTAAAGGATAGAGGGGGCAACTAGATAAAATCTAATCACGTTTTAACTTTTCTCAACTTTAAGATAGGTAATACACATTTTTCAAGTCCAAAATCTGACCAGAACAACAATTTCCACAAGATTGCTAATAATAATTTAAAAATGCAGCTTACTGTACATTAACCAGAAGCTGGAGCAACTCAGATTGTCAGGATGCTAATTTGTTAATTATTGAAAAATCGTATAACAATCATCTTTAACATAAAAATGTCCCAAAGCACTTCGTAGCAGCATTATAAAATAAAGTTGACAAACTACTCAAGGAGATTTCAGTGCAAACGACCACAATCGTGACAATAACAGTTAGGGACTTGGATCAGTTTCAAAATGGGGTAGCAAAGTTTTGGATGGCACAAATTTTACAGCATAAAATGTAAGACACTGGCCAGAAAAGCACTGAACAGTCAAGTCTCCAGGTAACATAGATAGGAAGTGTTTGTTTCAACAGCAGAGCACTATCAATTGGAAATTGGGGTAATATTTCTGCTTTGCAGGAAGAGTTCACTGAAGTTTAAGCATATTGTGACTATCATTATCGTTAATATCTGACATATCATTTTCACCTGTCTTTCTAATCAACCCGTTCAGAAATGTGGAGAGAAATCAAAGTCCAGTGCCTCAATGTTCTGAAGAAGGGTCACTCGACCTAAAACGTTAACCCTAATTTCTCAGATGCTGCCAGATCTGCTGAGCTTTTCCTGCAATTTCTGTTTTTGTTTCTGATTTACAGCATCCTTTCAGTTTTCATTTTGTTCAGAGATGTTATTACACACTTCTGGAGCAGGTGGGATTTGAACCCGTGTCTCTGGGTCCGGGGGTAGTCGCACTACCACTGCACCAGAACAGCCATTCAATTTTAAAAACTGTTTCTAACTGAAAAACACAATAATAGTGAGGAGAAGTGTCTAGGCCAGAAACGTCAGCCTTCCTGCTCGGCCTGCTGTATTCATTCAGCTCTACACCTTGTTATCTCTTATAATAGTGAGGCCCGTGTGACAAACAAAGTAAGCTGACGAGTCAGGAGGGTGCGCTTCGGTACAAACGCCATTCCCAATATTAACCCCATTTATCATCTTTCCGAAGCTGATTGATTGGCCTGTTGTGACAGTTTTAACATTTGTTTTCATTTTGCATTTCCGCCATGATCAAGTCTGTCTGACAGCATTTCTCTCCCAAAAAGGAGCCAAATAACACTCTGAGCATGCGCGGGAGAGGGGTCTGGGTTTTTCTTCTCTTAACCAATCCGCGATGATTTCACTAAAGCTCGGCTCCTCTCTCCCCCTTGCCGATGAAAGCGGAATTGTGACTAGGCAGCGGCCTAATTATGCAAAGTGGTTACGCCATGGGGCTGCCTCTGAAAGCCGCGCCCCCTTCGACAGAAAACCCAATTTATCATTTTTAATACCTTTTACCCCAAAATAACCCTCAAAATAAAAAAATTCGGGAAACGCAGGAGATATACAATTTATTACAGTTTTTGAGAATAATTTCATTTTTAAAGCATTCCTATATAAAATTCTGGATTAAAACTTTTCTTCTAGTTTAACAATTATCTCGATAATATATTTTTTTAATTATAGAATTACTTACAAAGTTTTCATAGCTTCTGTGGTGTTCATTGCCTTCCCAGTCCAGGCGCTTCGGGAGCAGCTGAAAGAAAAAAATAGGGAGGGGGAGAGGAAATATTATAAAAGGGGGGAAAATGCGTTAAGTCTTTAAATTTCTACCTCAGGTGAGTTTTTTTTATTAATGCGGAGAGGGGGGAGAAAAAAAGAACCGTCAAATCAGATAGCATTAGAGTGACATAAGAGGCCGAACAGGAGCAGCAAACGGAGTAAAGGACAGAGAGGACGAGCTGAGCGGTCGCTGGTGTCTGCCGATACGCACCTCTTTCTCTTCCAGCTCCTCCACTAGTATCTGCCAGACAGGAAAACAAAAAGAACAAGTTTAATCTCCGACATAATCACCGAAAGCCGTTTATGTTTTACTGAAGGAACTTTTATTATTTTTATTGTCTCGAATACACCACTCACCTCCGCGGACTTTCGGCAAGGACCCGCCGAGAGAAAGCGAGCGATTAGGAAGTAGAGCTCTGAGAAGAGGGGAAGGAAAAAGAATACAAACCTCGTTTTTTTAACGTTGCTTTTTTGTTTGTTAAATAAAACAGTTGAGGTCGTCTTTTCTTCCAATGTTGTTCTTACCTGATTCTAATGGAGAGACTTTAGGAGAGGTAGCGGTTGTCTCGGCCATTTTTTCCTTAATTTTAATTATATACTTGGATTTCAATGATGGATTTTTAATACATGATGTTCTTGTTTATAATTTGTATATGTATATTTTCTTTAGAATAAATTTTTTTTGTATGTGTGTGTGCTTTTTTTTGAAAAAGAATGTTGTCCCCGCCGCTGTTTCTGAGTCCCGGGCCCGGCCGCCTCCGGTCTCTTTAATCAAGATTTTCAGTCGCCATTTGATGAGTGCTGAGGCCAGCCTCAACCCAAGTGTACACATGCGCGAAAGGAAAAGAGTTCCAGTCTGTGGGTGGAAGGAGGGGGAGGGGAGCGGCGGCAAGGGAAGAAACTGGTAATTTCAATTTTTTTCACATTTTGGACAAGGTGCCAATTATAGAGGAAGGGATAAAGAAAACGAAGGATGTATGGTCATTCAGAGATACTTTGATTTCTTTCTTTCACCTTTCTACCGCGCACACAGGTACATCGTTTGATGGGTTGCATGTAAAATGGAGTCGTGCTGATATTGATCCGCCCAAGATGGCGACACTGAGCTAGTGGCGGTTGATTGGTTCCCCTAGTTGGCCTTTTGCCTGCTCTTTCTTCCTATATATACTTTTAATGTGTTTTCTTAGAGATTTAAATAAATATTCAAGTGGCCGGCATTGAAATATTCTGTATCCGGGATGCCGCCTTTTTATCGTGTGTTTGTTTCTGATGAACTTCCTGACTCTGTCAATCTTTCAGACACAGAGAATGTTTCTAAATGTGAAGGGGGGTTAAAATTGAATCAGAGATAGTAGGAACTGCAGATGCTGGAGAATCCGACACAACAAGGTGCAGAGCTGGATGAACACAGCAAGGCCAACCTTTCTGATGAAGGGTCTAGGCCCGAAACGTCAGCCTCTCTGCTCTTATGATGCTGCTTGGCCTGCTGTGTTCATCCAACCCTGCACCTTGTCTCTATGTTTCTAAATGTCTTCGTTTAGTGTTTGCTTCGCAATGAAATACTTCAAAATTGGGGAAAAAAAGCACGTGTGCCGTTATGTCCTGCATAATAGTTCCCGATTTTATGTGTTACTTCGTATATCTTGATATTTATTTCCTGTTATCGATTATCAAAATTGCACGTTCCTGTTATTTTCCAATATTTTCGCCCTATGTACAACTTCACCAATCCCCCTGTGCACTTAACACTTTAAGTATTAGTCTGAAATCCGCCTGTATATTATATCCCAGTTGTTAGCAGCGACAAATCTGTTCCGGTTTTGGGTATTGGTGCCTTTTTGAATAACTTTTATTGTGCAATCGAGTACGTTGTAATTTCCGAAATTGCATAGGCGAGTTGCAGATTCTCGCTGGTTAACAGTAAATAAGTTTGTTCTGATTTGTTTATTGCGTTTTTTTTGTGACACACTAACAAAAATATTGAAAAGGGGTATGCTCCCATTTTAAAGTTAAGGTGCCTTAAAATCTTGTTTCACTAATTAAATATAGTTTTGATTTGGTTTTAGGTTGTGTTATCAGCTTTTGGCATTTTTAAATTGATGTTTCTGATGTAACAACACTGGAACTGATTTCAATAAGAACTAGAAGAGAAGTCGAATAGAATAGAAATTTATTGTTACATGTACTTTGGCTTGAAAAAATACAATGATAAGTTTTATAAATCACCACACCACGGTGCCTATATTAATGACAGAAGTCATACATAATAATAAAAACAAGTATAATTAAGACAAAGTTCATCACGTTCTGTTAACGTCGCCTGGGCTCAGGGAAAGCCGATTAAGGAATACCCTGAAGACGCAGCTGGGAGGAGATAGTCATTCCGGGGCAAGAAAGCCACGCCAGGGCCAGACAGTCGGACCAGATGCTCCTGCCAAAGAAGACCGCTACACCGGGTCACTGTAAACCACTTTGTCGCTGGGCTGGAAAAGCCTCCTTTTCCCCAAACGACACTTCTGTCGGCGCTGCTGCCAATCGGTCGTCCATCCTTATAGATGATGCTTCTGCTCCTTCAGGTGCCTGGGCCAAGCTGTGGTCCTGGTGCCTCAGTCCAGACTGCAAGTCTTAGTCCAGGGCCTTCTCTTTGGTTGAAGGGAGACCCCGGGGTGAGTTGGAGCTGTATCTGGCTTGTCCTCATATTGCTGCCGTCAGAGGCCTCCTCCTTCACCTGCCATTCTCCAGGCTTTAAAGAAAAGAAACCAAAGGGGGAAAAAAAGCCAAATAAAGGCAATTCAGTCCCTTAAGCCTGCTCCCCCATTTGATACAATCATAACTAATCTCATCTCGCCTTTAGCCCCATTTTCCTGCTCATCACCTTTAACCCATTAGTAATTAAAAATCTGTCAAATCTCTTCCTCAGACTTATTTAGTGTCCTGGTCTCCGCTACACTCTGAAGTAGTGAGTTCAACAGATTCAAGATTTTTTGAGGGAAGTCATCCTTCCTGGTGGTGAAGAAGGTCTATGGGATAGGAGCAAATTACTGCAGATGCTGGAGATCACAGCTGGTCAGGCAGCATCATGAAATAAAAGCAAGCTAATGTTTTGAATCTAGATGACTTCCGCATTAAAGTGAAGTGTGGAAGGAGCAGCATTTATGTAATAGTGGGAAGGGGGATTTGGAGTGCTGGGGGAGAAAGGATGTTGATAGTTCAGATTAAGTCTTCTCACATTCCAATCACTTAATCTGAACTGTCAACATCTTTTCTTACCCAACACTCCAAACCTCTGCTGCTCATTCAGTTCACTTTAGCTCTGATGAAGAGTCATCTAAACTCAAAATGTTAGCTTGCTTTCTTTCCATGGGTGCTGCCTGACCTGTGGTGATCTGCAAGGTATACGGGCTGTTTGCCTTCATTAGCCAGAGCATAGAACATAGGAGAAAGGAAGTTTTGCTACAACTTGGAACACTTTAGTTCTGATCGCCACCCTATCAGAAGAGTGTGAGTGCACTGGAGAGGGTGCAGAGGAGATTCTTCAGAATGTTGCCTGGGATGAAAAGTCTCAGTTATGAGGAGAGACCATATAGCTGGGTTTGTTTACTTTGAAGCAAAGGATGACAAGGGAGAATTTGACTGAGGTATACAAAATGATGAGGGGCATAGAGAGAGCAGATAGTGAGAATCTTTTCCCCATGACGGATGTGTTTAAGGTCAGAGGACATAAGTTTAATGTGAGGAGCAAGTGGTTTAGAGGAAATCTGAGAAAAAAATCTTTCACCCAAAGAGTGCTAGCAATATGGAACGTGTTGCCTGAGAGGGTCATGAAGGCAGGTACTGTCATAACATGTAAGAAGCATCTGGATGAGTACTTAAAATGCCAGGTCATATTAGGTTATGGACCACGTACAAGTAAATGGGATTGATATAGTTTGGTGTTTGTTAGTTGGCATAGACGTGGTAGGCCGAAGGGCCTGTTTCTATGCTCATGACTCATTTCTGTTTTAAATTTTCCACCCCTTAGCCTAAATCTATGACCTCGCATTCTAGATTGCCCCACATGGGGAAAATCTGTTCTATGGCTATTTCATCCATCCCTTTAATCTTACGTACCTCAATTAGATCTTCTCTCATTCTTCTTATAAACTGTAGTAAGTAGAGGATTGAACTGCACATAATCTCTCATCATAAGACAAGCACGAGATTTAACTGCAAATATCATATCTGGTGAACGACTGCGTTAATTGAACTTCATACTTTTTTGAGCAGTAATAAACAAGAAAAAATGAATGTACTGTCTGTTTGTGTGGTAGAGGCAAGTTCAGTTGAAGCATTCATGAAGGCATTTGTTAGATAATTTGGATAAAAAGAATGTGCAACTAACGGGGGGGTGGGGGGGTGTATAAAGCAAGAGATTGACATTAGGTAATGATGTTCATTTAACAAACTGGTACAGGCACAGTGGGTCTGAAGGGCCTCCTGCACCATAACACTTCTGTGATTCAGTGAAAAGATGGCTGTAATTCCATTTTTTTTTAAAAGGGTTATTTCTGTCAAGATTCTCAAACCATATTGAATGCAATCTACTTAATTAATTAATAACCACAAAACTGATTCACCTATATTTATCAATATGTTTGATATGCTGTTACCAGACATTTATAAACCTAAAGTGGACCTAATGCAGTTCCTTTATGCCAACAGAAGTATATTAACATTGATCTCACCTCAGAATTGATAACTGTATGTATTGTCTTTAATTTAATTAAACATATATTGGCACTTCACAGGCTTTTTCCGAAATAGAGTTTGAAAAACAACCTTTCCTCAAAACCATCTTTTTAAAATTTCTCATCATAGCTGATCTGGTTATTTCTTTGTGGGATGACCAATTTGAGCAGAATTGTGAATAGGCATTTGCTACTAATTGAGATAACCATATTTCACATATTTGCTCTTCATAGCAAGAGATGGTGATGTGGCCTGGATTAGATGCCTCCAATGCAACTACGTCCCTCCTCAGGAAATGGGACCAAACTTGTACTCAGTACTCCTGGGATGGCATCACAAATGCCTTGTACAGTTGCAGCAACACTTGCTGATTTTTTACTTTATTCCTTGAGCAATAAATGCCAAAGTTCCATTTGCCGTCCTTATTACCTGCTGTACCTGCATTCTGGTTTGCTGTGATTCATGCACGAGGATACCCAGCTCCCTCTGTACTAAAGCATTATGAAGTTTTTCTTCATTTAGATAATAAGTTGCCTTTCTTTTCCACCAACGAAAGTGGAAAACCTCTTATCCACATTAAACTTCATCTGCCAAATTGTGGCCCAGTCACCTAACCTATCCATTAGCATTTATAAATTTCTTATTTAGATTCATAAAGTAATACAGCATGGAAACAGATGCTTCAGTTCAACCAGTCCATGCTGACCATAGTCCCAAACTAAACCAGTCCCACCTGCCTGGGCTTGGCCAATATCCCTCCAAACATTTCTTATTCATGTACTTATCCAAATGTCTTTTAAACGCTGTAACTGTACTCACATCCACCACTTCCTTTCAAAGTTCATTCCATACACAAAGCATTCTCTACATAAAAACAATTGCCCCCATGTCTTTTTTAAAAATCTTTCTCCTGTTACGTTAAAAATATGTCCCCCAGTCTTGAAATCCCCCAACTTATCTAAATCCCACATGGTCTTATAAACCTCTAAGGTCACCAACAGGTGACCAGAACTGGACATAGTACTGCA